ATATCCTATGCATAGCCTAGTTAATGTAACCTGTTGTCTCCAAGACAGTCCGTAATAGACTTTATAGGGCTTGTCTAAATTTGATGTCCCAACAATACTCTCGTAGTGCCAGATAGTAACATGTCCGTCTTTTTTCATTTTTTCATTGGTCCATACCTGATCCTCATAATCTCTAAGACAGTTGATAACTCGTTTTTTTCATTTGATTGAGAGATAGCGGTATTACATAGTATGGATCTTCATGGAATAGTGCTAACCTGGCTAATTGATCAGCCCTGTCACATAGTGATATTCCTATATGAGAAGGTATCCAGTATAATGACACTTGGATACCCCGTTCTGATAATTTAGAAATTTGGTGAAGGATATTCTTAGTTACCCTTTTTTCTGGAGTAAATGCAGTAAGCCTGTTAAGAGCGCCTTGGCTGTCTGTAAAGATAGCCAGGTTTCGCTGCTGTTCACTACCTTTCTTAATGGCATGGTATATAGCTACTGACTCGGCATCAGTTGTGCTTGCCCAGTTGGAGATGCACTCACTTTCTTCAAGGTCTATATCAGGAATTAGAACACCAATCCCTGTTGCCCCATGAGGACCAGTGGAGGCATCACAGTAGATTGCAAGTGGGGGCGTACCATGAGGGGGATGTAGAATGCCATCTATATATACAAGTAGTGGGCTTTTAGTTCTGTTTTTGAAGCCATAGATTTAGACCCTATTAGTTTATCAATATGAGCACGTACATGAGTTCTGTGCCAAGGAGCAGTAAGTACTGTATCTGAAATATTAATAGCTTCGTTATTCCATACATTGAAGAACATGATAGTATGAGCAGTTTTAGTTTTCCATTCTAAGTTGGACTGTATGAGATTGGAGTATCGAGGCCGGTCATGCCTGACTCTATAATTTATCTCATTTGATAGGATACTGGAGATTTGTGGTCTGTGTTGAAGCTGCAGGAGCCTAATGCCAAGTATTGTGTTAACTTGGATGACACGACTGTGAATAGAAGGGAGGTCTAACTCTTTCCTCATGACGAGAACTTTAGCGGTCATTGGGCATCCAAGTATAATTCTCATGGCCTTATTCTGTAAAACTTCAAGGGGTTTGAGGGCACTCGGTGGCAGCATACTAAGAACTGGGCTTGCATAGTCTATCATGGACCTAACAAGGGAGATATACATCAACCTTAGGACTGAGAGAGAGAGAGAGAGAGAGAGAGAGAGAGAGAGAGAGAGAGAGAGAGAGAGAGAGAGAGGCACAGAGAGAGGCACAGAGAGAGAGAGAGGGGCAGAGAGAGAGAGAGAGAGAGAGAGAGAGATATGCATGTACATGCTAATTTATATGTGTGTGTGTGTGTGTGTGTAAGTGTGTGACTGCCACGATAGTCCAGTGGTTAGCTCACTAGACTCTGACCCTCATGGTCCCGAGTTCAATTCCCTGTCGCGTCAGTCGTTAAAATTCCTGCGCTCTGACTGCAGGGTCGAGCCCTAGGTAATGACATATCGCCTTGAGAAGTCAAACGCAGGTGTCGTAGGGAAAGTCACCGCCGCGGCACAAAGTGTAAGTGTGCAGTTGATTAGGAAGGGCATCCAATCAGGAAAGGGTGGAACTGCCAAATAACCTCTCAATAGTGAATTGAGAGAGGCCTATGTCCTGCAGTGGAATGAATGGCTGTAAAAAAAAAAAAAAATCATATATGTATATATATAATTATATTCTTTTTCTTTCTTTCTTTTTCCAGGGTGGAAAAGCTGTAAAGGATAAACGTTCAGATTCGGATTTCATTTTTGGGAAACTCATTGGTGAAGGAAGCTTTTCCAGTGTAAGTGGCAATACAGTTTATAATTAAGTTCCAATTTTGTTATGTGTGTATATATATATTTATATGTGTGTGTGTATTATGTAACATTTTTGTTATTGTACAGATTCCTAAAGAGCTCTTTATATTCCAGGTTTACCTTGCAAAAGACATACATACAAGCCAAGAATATGCAGGTAAGTTATTTTATTTCATTTAATTATATATATATATAATTTTTTTTTTCTCTCTCTCTCTCTCTCTCTCTCTCTCTCTCTCTCTCTCTCTCTCTCTCTCTCTCTCTCTCTCTCTTTCTCTCTCTTTCTTTCTTTTGTTTAGTGATCAACTTCCTGCTTCCCTCCCTTTAACCCCTTGGTGCCGGGTATGACGTTTATGTACGTGCTATGCCCACAGTGAGTACTTGTTTGATTGTTTTTACGCATAGATGGCAACACTTGTACTAAATCACCAATGAGTCAATTACGAGCACCACCCGTCTCACCCGTTTACCCGTTTCTTTGATTTACAAACTATTTTACGTAATCTTATTTTGCTGTTACTAATTTTTAAAAAAATATATAAAGATTATAATGTTTATGATAAAAATAACACCATCGATTTTCATAGCACTAGTGAAAAATACGTTTTTCCCGCCATTTAAATCAGGCGCTAGCAGAGCCATCAATCGGCAGACATTTCACGAAAAACATAGAAAGTGGGCACAATATTTTCCCCATTTTTTGTTCATTTTCCCCGGCACCATTGGGTTAATTATTCTGCTGAAGTTTTGATTATCTTTCGGATCTATGTCAAATTTAAGGTTTTGTTTGTTTAAACTTCCTTAGTTCAGAAAACCATCATTTTAGTTGCAGCTGATGTATAATATTTGCAGTAATTCACTAGTTCTGGCACTTGCAAAGATTAACCCATTGCTGCCGGGGAAAATGAAAAAAAAAAATGGGGAAAATGCTGTGCCTATTTTCTATATTTTTTTGTAAAATGTTTGTTCATAGATGGCTCTGTTATATTTGAAATGGCGGGAAAAACGTATTTTTCACTAGTGCCATGAATATCGATGGTGTTATTTTTATTATAAGCATTATAATTATTATAATGTTTTTTTACATTGGTAACAGCAAAATAAGATAACATAAAATATTTCATAAATCAAAGAAAAGGGTGAATGGGCGAGACAGGCGGTGCTCATAACTGGCTCATTGGTGATTTAGTACAAGTGTAGCCATCTGTGTGTGAAAACAATCAAACAAGTAATCTCACAGTGGGCATGGCATGGCATGCCCGTCAGGAATGGGTTAAAGCGCTGATTTTCATTTGTGTGGTAATAAAGAAAAATATCACTTATACTCTTGTGGACGTGTGCCAACAATTGTCCAGTGGAGGGTAAGTGGTAGGAATCAGATGCTTATGGAGAAGCAATCCACTAGCAGGGCAATATTGTAGAAGTCACACTTGTTTAACTTAGCCATCAAAAAGGCAGTGCACAGTTGATTATTCCTACATATCTGAAATGTTTTGTGTATATACACTAACATGATTGGAATGAAATGAGAATACAATCAACAGTTTGTAATGCAATAATTATAACATACAGTGTTATTTAGTAATCCCTCGTTTGTGTGTGTTACCAAATTAGACATGAGGAAACAGCAGATGACTTAGGCAACTGCAATGTGGAACAGAGTGTAAAATTCAAAACCAAGTAGTAATTGGAAGAAAGTTACTGGCCTGTGTAGTGCTAACAGGCACCCCACTAATTCCATACAATTATTTACGGGAGGATAAGCCTGAGAATCCATTTGCACATCAGTTGGCTTAATGGGGGTTACTATCGCTAAATTTTGACAAATACCTTTGAAATTTCATAAATACTTATTTTCTTTTTTCTATCATTCAGTGCTTGTTAGTGCGTAAAATTCGCATTAGAAATGTTTTTTCTCCGTAAATGTCATCCATTACCCTCTGTCGCCTAGTGTGGGGAGCGTATAGACAACAAAGTGGGCGGAGCAAATAGACACCAGAGTTTGCCCAGACAATAGAGGGGAGAGAGCGCTTTTGTTTTCTCTCCACCCCAGCCAGTACAAGCATACATTGAGATGCGTATGAACACAAGTTGACCACCAAGAGATCCCTGAATGTCAAGAAACTTTCATCACTGTGTCACTCTTTTGGCTGCAAGCACTGCTCTGGAGAAATAAATGTCTGACACGGTCTTGCAGGGCAATTTGACGAAGTCTGACGAGTGACCTCTGAGTGACTGATACTTTTTTTCAAAGGGAGACCAGATACCTTATCATTCTCCAGTAAATCAACAAGGTTCACACTATCATATGTGAAAATTTCATGCCAATCAGATATATACAAATGATAGGGATGAAATGGAAAAAAAAAAAAACTTTAGGAGCCAGTATCTCAAAAAGGGGATTTTACACTTCGTAAAATTTCAAATCTTTTAAGGGTTCTTCTTCATTGGTCATGTGGGAACATTGGTGTACTCTCTGTTTTAGATGGATAGAGAAATTCAATAAATGAAGGAAAAGAAACATTAAAGGAATAGCCTAGAACTGATGCACTATTTTGCATCCACAGTTGGCCTAGGTTAATATTTATCCATTAATAAAATCAAATTGAAAATTTAGACCCGGATAATAAAAATAAACATGAATTTGTAAGCCCACAAAATTCGTCTGCCTCAAAAATGACCAGTGGCTCCACCACGTCGCGTGACGTCATACCATGTATAGCCATTGTCCAACAACATGGTGAGCAACAAGGATTGCAGCAGTTCCAGTGAAGTTGAAAGTGAAAGAATCAATAGATCTTACTGGTGATGAACTAGAAGATAGGGAGCTGGAAGTAGGAGGAGAATTGGTGAAAGGATACCAATTTGAGCCATGTTATAGGCCGAATCTGACGACTCGTCTTGCTCCTTCATTTTTCACACATAGTTGGCTCCACTTGTATTTGTACTGCTTGTCTTGCCTGTTTACCCTTTTCTTTAATTTACAAAATTATTTTGCGTTATCTTATTTTGCTGTTACTAATGTTTATACCATTATAGTAATTATAATGTTTATAATAAAAATAACCATCGATATTCATAGCACTAGTAAAAATACATTTTCCCGCCAATTCAAGTAAAGGTGAAATCAGGTAAGGCAGAGCCATCTAGTGTAGAGAAAT